CTAACCAACTTGATATGGTAGTTGGGCATGTCTCAAAATGGGGGATTGATCCCCTTTCAAACCATGGGATTTGGGACTATCCATGAAATCTATGGAAGATATCAGTGATATTCAGTGATTCTGTGAGTGATGTTAATGGATATGTCTATGATACACATATATATATATATATGGATATATAGACAGATGTATGTGTATATATTCAATAGCATTCAGTCATATGTTTGTCATTTCTATATTTCTATCAGTGATGGTGGCTGTGGAATGACTATCACAGGCTCCTGACTCGGCACCAAAACCTGAGAACGAGGAGTCGGACAAGGAGGCGGCCGTCGGCCGTCGACGAAAACCTGTGGGAATCGGAGAATTTTGTCTGGTTGGTGGTTTGGTTTAGTATGGGATAATGACGGTTAATAATGGTTAATAATCACTGGTTGGTGGTTTGGAACATGAATTTAATGAATGATTTTGCCATATATTGGGAATGTCATCATCCCAACTGACGAACTCCATCATTTTTCAGAGGGGTAGGAAAAAACCACCAACCAGTTGTTCAATTTCCCAATGTTCAATGGAGTTGAAAGAGTTTCAAACATCAGTTGAAATATCTTGAAATGGTGTTTGGTGGTCGATCCCAAGTTGATGTTCACAGAGACACCATGAGACAACATCTTGAGACTTGCGAAAATGTGGTGTGGCTGTTGTTGTTGTTGTTGTTGTTGTTGTTATTGTTGTTAAAAAGGACGAGAACTTTCCCGCACAACAGTCGTTTTTAATCGTTCCCCGGAGATAAGGCCGCTGCGGAAGAGAGCGACCAGGAAGATGAAAAGGATGATAAGGCGCGCATTTGGCATTTGGGGCTAAAACAGCGACAAAAACTGGGAGTTGCAACCACAATCAAATCAGCACATACATACACTATATGTAGGATATATATATATAATATATATAATAGGTATAATGTATACTATTGTATAAATGCGTATACATATATATATATATATGCATGCATGTAATTATATACGTGTGTATGTATACATTTATGCACATATATATATATATATATTATCCTGGACCAGCGAACGAGCAGAAAAAAAAGGTTGTTTTGGTCAATGACCTTGTTTTTAGCCAATTGACCTATTTTGGGTCAGATCGGGCAATTCAACCCAAACGACCCAAAATGGCAGAAATCTGGCTGAAATCTAATTTTCTATGTGTTTCCATGGTGTCCCATCCCATAACTTCACTTTCTTTCACCATAGCTACACTTGTGGCACTGATTGACCCCTGACGTGTTTGACTGGATCCATGGGGGCCTGCGCTTTCAGGCCTGAGCCCCCGCTATGCTTTGTCTTTTATTCTTTGCAGGGGTGGTGCATTGTTCAGGGATTGGATGCCAATTGGCAGAAATTTCAATGCTGTATGACACGTGTTGTTCAGACTCTGGCTCGCAAAGATGTACCATCTGAGACAGGTGTGTGTTTGTTTGCGTGTGGGACTTCACGCATACAACTATTTATTTGGCGTTATTCACCAGACCTAAGGCAGTCATGCAAAACACGTATGATTCACACGTATTCACGCCGCAGATTTGGGACGGCAACTCCCCGCAAAATAGCAAATCGTCAATTTTCAAGTTTTTCCGGACCAAAACTGCCCCGCAAATCGGGCGCAAAAACCCGCAATCCGCACACAAAAACCCGCAAACGGGCGCAAATCAGGATTTCTGCCCTGATGTGTTTTGACAAAATGTATTTTATCGCAGCAAAGCTAGGTTTAAATGGCAAATTCTTTTGATTTAGCAAAGCGGGTCAGCCACCCGCAAACACGCCAAGAGGGTTGATTGCTGGCTGCATAGCTGTAGCCATTCTTGGGATGCTTTTCAGCATACTTAGTGGATCAGATTCTTCTTCATGAGGCCCTGTTCTACGTTTGAGCAGGGGGTATAGAAGTGCTTTTCAGTTAGGGATATCTTAAGATGATTTTCTTTGGTATGGCCCAGTGACTGAGGCTGGGGGTGTTGGCAAGACGAAGATCACATCGGAAGATGTTCACGGTTGTCACGTTCATGTCACCACCTGCTTTTTATATAGCATCACAGAAGTGTTTGTACCTTTACCGGCAGGAATTGCTGAAGGTTGGATGATTTGAAGTGATGTGGCAAGAGACTCCACGTGTGGAAATAAGACATGGCAGAAAAGTTGGGATCGGGCAGAAATGGCCCAAACCGGGCAGAATTACCATTATTTTCTGAAACGGGCAGAAAACCAAAACGACCAAAATTTAATGGTTGTTTGATGATACAGGATTATATTATATATATGTATATACACATAGCATACCTACAAACATGCAGTTGAAATGTAAGTGGGTTTGTTCGTTTCAATTATTGGTTGGTTGATATGTTAACCCACAAAAAATGGCGCGTACACCACCAGCATTTTCGATTTCAAAACTGGGATGTCCTGTAAACACACGGCTTTTACGGGCGTTACCAGCCAAAAACCAGGGATCTATACAAGCACCATCAAATGGGGATGTATAATGATGTATTCTGTGCATGTGTCTACTTAACTCTACTTACTGTATACATAGATGCATAGTGTATTAGAATAGACCACATGATGTAATTATATACAGTACATACATGTATATACGTAGAATTGGATCTAATTGGTTCGTTGCTTGAACTATGTGATGTGTTAAACCAAAGTTGGGGTGATGATTCCGAAAGTGACTTTTTCGGGAGGGATGGGATAGAATTCTGCTCTGTGACAGCGACAACTTTTGAACATTCAAACGATATCGACGTAACAAATGTTGGCATGTTCGTCGCAGATATTGAGTACGTAAACATGACAAAGATTCTTAAATTGTCAGGGTTCCATTCTAGACTAGACCCATTGGCTAAGCGCTGAAATTACACCAGGGATCACCAGGGAGGGTATTGTACCTTGAACGACTCAATGGGTTTTGCCAAAGCCGGACGAATGTCCCCGTTCGATCTAAACTGTTTGAGTTCGGTATCAGTGCATTACTGCCATACCCTCCAGCAATCAGACATGACAATTCTTCATAGGGGAGTGCAGTATCCCAGCTATAAACCTCCATTTATAGGAATTTTCCAGCTAGCCACATTTGATTGCCAGAAGCTATTTAGTTTGACAATTTTCGTATCATATTCCTGGGACGCCATCATCTTATTCAACGAATTGGTGTAATTAAAGGACATTTGACACCGGACATCCCCAAATATTCATGAGAAAACCGTGGTTTCTGCTGTCCCGCTCAAGATTTTCCCAACAAAACCACTCCATCCGCATGTTCATTGTGTCACTTGTGTCGCATTAAATCTCATTAAATCCAATGAAACATGATTAAGCACCATAAAATCAGGATATCCATTGAATTTCCCATTGGCTGCCTGGAAAACAGGATGAAGACATGGAAAAGGTCTGCGAGGCCGCTTGGTCAGTGACTTCCGTGGATGGCCTGTCGCTGGTTGCCACATTTGTCTTTCTAAAACAGTACAGTAAGTATACGGAAATCATATATGCATTAAATCATTATTATATATATTACATATAAAAAATATTAAATCAATACCAGTATCTAGCATTAAATCATTTACACTTACTAGACTATAATATATATATATATGTTCTAATATCAATGTATAAAACTGCATCGATTGTTGCTAAAATCCACGTTTATACCACACTTTACTGTAATTGCATCATCAGTTGGTGTTCATTGTCGTCCCCGCTGTTTTTTCATGAAACCCGGATATGTTTCATCCAATCTCCATAAACTTGCCAGTTGTGGATGAGTTAATCCCCATTGATGTTCACACGGCTTCACTGTCCGGTTTAGCATATTGCAATCATTACCCTCTGGTAAACATACAAAAAACTATGGAAAATCACCATGTTCAATGGGTAAATCCACTACAAATGGCCATTGTCAATAGCCATGTATAGCTATGTTAAATTACCAAAGGGTACATATGTTTGTTGCCTCAAAAAGAAAGACCAACGGAAACCACTGCTAAACAGCATGTGGAGGCGGCGGCAGAAGCAGAGGTGATGGCAACGGCATGTTTTATTTGTGTTGTGTCCTTCTGTGGTAAACCCAGGATAAACCATCCCAATCAACAGCCATTCCGAGGTCCTTTTAATCAAATAGGGGTAGACCCAACCAATAAACATGAAAAACTAAACCAAGATCGGGGATTGTTTATTCTAGTTTTCCACATTATTTCCAAAGAAAGTGTGTATTTGGTTAAGATATGTTAAGATGTTCGGTCTTCGCATTTCATCGAGCGGCCTCATCTAGCCCTTCGGATTTTTGATGGTTATTTTTAATGTGGGAAAGCCTAGCTGTCATAAACCTACCATGACTGGGGATGATCGGATGATGATTGCCAACCATAAAAATTCTGATTTTTTGTGATGGTTTACCAGATTTTGTTCACATTGACCTTGCATAGTATCTAGCAAGCCTAACAACCAATGATCACTCGAGGGATCCGTACCTTTCATATCATTTTGAATACCATTGGGAAGATGAACATCCACAAATCCCAGCTATCTTGTTCAATTCCTGCGACTCAGATGGAACTGTACAGAACCCGGTTCGTTGCTTGACTTTAAGATGCTGAAATGTCCAGGCCATTGGCACCTTAAGACACGCCTTTCCGTTGCTCCGCGCGTACACCGCTGGTTCAGTGGGCGAAAGCCGTTGTGAGTAGGGGAACAGAGAAGCAAAAGGATGACGTGGAAGAATCCGGCAGAATAACCAACGATGCAGTGTGAGAATAGCGAAACAAGAAAAACGTCACTAATATCAACATCTACATTTATCATGAAGACAGAATGAGAAGTCTAAAAAAATTAACTACAATGTCTGCAAACGTTTGTATTTACCATCCAATCTCCACCAATCCCATTTTTTAGTACTATGAGAGTCATACCTCCATACACAAACCAAAAGCCGCCGAGTTTTCGCCATCGCATCGTCAGTGGGCGCGCCCTCGCCGCTGATTTTTCGATGCCCAGAACTCAGTGCTTCACCCACTGGTGCGGATTAAGCATGTATAATAAGCCCACCCAAGAAATAGTTAAGGTACAAGTCTCCACTTTTTTCTTCGGGGGGGGCTTTCTCTAGATGTTTCATTCCTCAAATTTCAATTCCCACAAAGAATAGTTAAGGCTTGACATGGATGTTTGTTTTCAAATCCCAATTGACATCCCAATTCAAATGCGATAATTAATTAATGGATTGTCTCCCAATTCAGATCGTAGATTTTACTTTTCTAATAATGCCTATATACTTTATAATGAAGAATTGCTCTCTGAATCGAACTCCATAGACACCTGGATATCCGGGACCAGGGCCGGCCATAGACAGGCCAACTACGTGCGGGCATCCCATGGCTTGTTATGGCATGATCCAAATGTGTGATAGACTGCAGGGTGAAAAAAATGGGATCTCATGACTTTTCATGGGCGATTTTAAATGGTGGTTTAATGAGGCTTAATGGGATATTTAACCAAGCAACAATACGCATGTTCCATGATCAAGTTTCTTGGGTAAACTGCCATGTATCCATCAAGATCGGGATGATTTATACAGCCATTGTTAGGATTCCCATTCTGAGACCAATGTGACCATACCACCTGTTACCATTATTGTTTGCCATATAATGGGGGTTAAAACAATGCCATTTGCACCATCCCCCAGTCATCACCATGTTTATAGGTGGTATATATATATATATATAAACCATTCCCAGGAAAATGGGTGGTAGTCCTACGGCATTGTTTGAACCACATTATAACCCCACCATGCTGGCCACATGGCGAAACTGGCCATGCTGGCCGTAGGCTGTTGGCATAGCCTCCAATGGGATGGAGAAGTACTCCTTCGTCCAACGGCTGGGTCAAGGTACGGCGTACGGGTCCCCTCGGGCGAGGTTCGAATCGGTTTTTATTCGTGGGGACCCGTTAAGCCGTTTCAGGGGCATGTTAAGCAAATCCATGATGATGATGATGTTGATGATGATGATGATGATGATGGTGGTGATGATGATGATGTTTTTTTGGATGATCTGGTTCCCAGGCCCATTCAGAAGCCACTCTGGACAAGACATACAGGGTGGTGCCCCAGTTCGTTAGCTAAGTTGGATACTTACTTCCATTAATTGTATACATACACATACATACATGATATATATATATATATATTTATACTATATATATATATATTATGTCGATATTTTAAACCTACCTAGATGTATCTACCACAAAGCCACCAGCTCCAGAGTTGTTTCAACCGGGGCGCGCCAGGCTCTTTTGCGGTGGTCTGGAAAGCGCGCCGGAAATCCGTGACGTGCCGGCACCCCCAAAATTTGGAGGTTTCCGAATTATCAATACTAAAATGGGTAATGTTCAGTAATTTTCAATAGTAAATTGGGGTAATTATTATATCATAGTAAAATTTGGAGGGTACCCAAAAAATTGGGTAAGTATCAATAGTGAAATTGTTTATAATTAGCTTTGGATGATTTTTGGTAGCCCTATGGTAGGAAACAGAAACCACCTGAAATTCCCCGATACTTGGGTCTGGCCCGAAATATGGAGATGATGTTATCAAGATGAAACAAAACACCCCAGTTGTAAGCTGGTTTAAAAACCCATCTATACTTAATTACAGTATATAACATTATATAACTATAATTGGCTTTATCTCCCATTCTCCCATAAAAATGATATAGAAATATAACTACCATTTTAGGGATGATCAAATATATACTACCAATTAGGGATGATTTCATCTCCCATTGTATAACTATCATTTTAGGGATGATGAAATACTCATCACGAATTCCGCATTTTTCGTCGCAGCCCAGGATGGACGTTTGGTGGCGGCCAAGCAACTGAAGACGTCCCCGGAGTGGGGATCCTGGAGAATATGATGATCAAGCTGATTTGACCAGAGAAAGGTGGGTGTACAATCAGTAACACTCAGAAAAACTATTGCAACTATGGTATTATGGAGTTTGTATATATTATATATATAATGATATATGTGATTGCACTAAGTAAAACTATAATTATGATATATATCTGATTTTACTTCAGGTTATTTGACACTGATTCAGCAATTGGAGAGAGATCCTAATTTCACAAGTGGTTTCCCTGCTCCTAAGATTGATCAGTGAAATGCTGGATGACTCGCCCTCCGTAAACATCAGCAATGGTGATCCGAGTCCTCCCAAAGCCAGCATCCGTTGTTTTGCAGAACAAGCATATTCAAAACAAACACAGAATGTATTATCATGGATCATGTATAAAATTGGATAGATATATAATATAGGATCATGTAAACCATCCACACACCTGTATTATTCCTTGGGTAGTTCCAGGGTTTCCTAGTGATGCATCAGGTCATGGGAAGCTTGCAAGCAGCTACCAGAGGCTGTGGGTATCGGATATTCATGGGGAGATTCGATCAGATATATAATCATTATATATATAATGATATGTATATATATAGTGATATAAATATATATAATGATATATATATATATATTTATATTTATATGATATATCTATAATTATATATATATAGAGTGAGATATATAGTGATATATATATATAGTTATATATGTGATGATATATATATATATATCATGATATATATATATTCAATATATATAATGGTATATATGTTTAATGATATATATATATATATATATTTATATAGTGATATATATATATATATATGTATACTGGTATATATAGATATAATTATATATATTTAATACTTTGCACTTATATATAATGATATATATAATATATAGTAATATATATATATATATAATGATATATATATATTTTGATCTGATCTATATATATATATATTTGTATCATATCATGATATATAAACATACTTAAATAAATATATATATATATATATTCATACACATGTACTTATATATTGACCATATATAGAAATAATGCAACTATATGAACGAAAAAATGATGATAAACCAATACGTAGAAGGATATACCACCAATACTTGTTTAGTCAATATTAGTATCATCAGTAAAAGATGATGGAATATTTCATCAATCAGTTACATGATGTAAGCAACTCTCATATAACGGGATATCTCACACATATAGTCAACAAAAACATGGATTCGTGGATTTGAAAAAAAAAACTACTATCCTCCAGTAGTTTGTAGCTATGGAGAATTCAACTCATATATATATATATGTTTTAAGAGGTAAATCATTGAACTATATGAGTCATGGCTTCCATAGTCTATAGTAAGCAGTTAAATCCCGAGAGGGTAACTACAAAAAATGGAGTTCATGGGATGATGTTCGGTGGAATATACATATTATATACCATCTGGTTATGACTAACATAGCCATGGAAAATCCAACCATTTTTAAGAACGGTACACCTTCTATTTCTATGGGCCATCGAAAAACCATGGTTATGTTAGTCATAGCCAGAGGGTAACTAGCTATAATCAAGTTACGGTAGCGTTATATGGAAAAGTTCAGGCTTCGTAGATGGGATGACCATGATGCAATTCGTTGCACACCTGGAATCCATGGAGAAACTGCTTAGATCAGACCATGGGAGCCTATGAGTATTTTCAGTATAGCTCATCAACAACTGTAAGAAATGTGTTGGTCTCATATTTCATTCAATAAATCGTTCAGAATACGATTGTGATGTTTCGTAAAGAAATGCCATTGGCGGTTTGCGGGGTATACACCATGTTCAGTAGTTTTATCCAATTGCATCCCATAGAGTCCTAAGTATATCCCAGTACCATCTGGTTATTTAACATAGCCATGGAAAATCCACCCATTTTTCACAGGTAAACCATCTATAAATGGGCCATCGAAAAACCATGGCTATGTTAAATAACCAGAGGGTATACCCCATTAAATCCCATTAAATCCCATTAAACCACCATTTTCCTATGGTTTTCCCATGGTTTTCCATGGTTTTCCCATGGTTTTCCGATAAGATGCTTGGCCAAGCCTCACAGGTGCGTGCCGCGGCACAAGTGGCCGACCGGCGTCATTTGGTGCAGCTGCTGGAAGCGGTGCGTCATGGCCGCTTGACGGCGCCTGGTGATGGTCGGCAACGATTTTAGGCTGGACGAAACCATAGGAAAACCATAGGAAAATGGAGGTTTAATATGATTAATAGTGGTTAATAGTGGTTAATAGTGGTTAATAGTGGTTAATGGATGGTGAATAATGGATGATAATGGTAATAATAATGGTTAATGATGATTACCCTTTGGTAAACGTACAAAAAACTGGTTGGTGGTTTCAAACATGACTTTTATTTTCCATAATATATGGGATGTCATCCTTCCCATTGACTAATATTTTCAATATGGTTAAAACCACCAACCAGATAACTATGGAAAGATCCACCATTTTTGATGGGTAAATCAATTTATTATATCAATAGCTATGTTAGTCAAGAAGAAAAGGGCAAACCTAAAAAATACATTGTGATTTAATTGGTGATTTAATAAGACTATGGAACATCACCATGGTTTGGCTTGGTAAGTCATCACACCAATTAGGTCATTTTCAGTGAATAGTTTACTGATGTCTACTGGAAGGATGGCGATTTGACCACTTGGGGATCTCTGGAAATCGCGATGGGCGATGATGGGTGTTCTGATTGTTGTCATGTTATGTGTTTGTAATTTTGATACGATAGTATATACTGATCTTTAGTGGTTGGCTATGTAAACTGAACCTTTTTTTTTCTTCATCTACATGGTATTCAAGATTAACATAGATTAGCCATGTCACCTCATTGAAAAAGACGATGATCCTTAGCCATGATCGGAAGGCTCCCCAGCAATTCCAGTAGAACCTGTTAAATGGGGAGCCAAGGAGCTACTAAGAGTTTCCTGACCACATGATTTGCTTTTTGTGTGTAAACATGTTTTCCTAGAAAGGACAGCTTTGGAGCGTGCTGCCAGGAAACTTTGGTTGGTTGATGGGTTATGGATTGGTACTACCTGGCAGACTGACAAGTATTTGAAACCATGGTGGGACAACCTATCATTCAACCTTAACATAGAACAATTCCCAAGAGTGCAATCGTCATCATTTATCTACCTGGTTCTCGCTATTTTGCATAACTAAAAGCTATTTGCAAAAACAACTCAACTGAACACATACAGTAATTGTCACATATTTTAACATCTCTTCTACAGACATGTTTTTGATTTTTCTTTGTTTACAGTACTGTGCTTCAAGTATTGGATGTGTTGGCTTCATTGTGTTGATTGTTGCGTCACAACAACCCTGGAATTGCCACAAGTCTCGCTATGCCATCTTTGCACATAGCAGCTGCACACCGGGTTGAGATGGAGGCGGGAAACCCCATTCCAAGACCTGCAACCCCATGCAATCTGCAGGTGCAAAAATCCGAAATTGTGTTGTAGTTATATATTTGTCCGCTCTGGAAGTCACATTCGACATGCAAATCATGAAAATATATGAAAATATATCAAAATCATCCTAGCAATGGATAGATGTTGATGACCGTTACCAGCTCAGACCATTTATTGCACCTGTTTTTTGTTTTGATAACAGTGGAGGTGAGCAACCTTTGAAAAAAAAGTGGTACCTACTGTAAGTTTGGCCATGGGATCCCAACTTGAGACCGGACCGAGGTGGAGAACTCTTTTTGATCTTCGAGTACATTGAGGGAAGCTTGCATCATTGCATTGCCCCTGGGTTGCGATGAGAATGGGCGGTAAACCTTGGTAAACCTGGTAAACCCGGAGAAACCATGGCTGCATGACTGGGGATGGTTGAAATCCCAGAGAAATGTTGTGATGACTTGGGGATGGTATATGAAGTTTATTATTGGCTTGACCACATGATATGGATACGTCAGGACAAATCCAATGGGCTCAAAGAACTTCAAACAGAACGGGTGGTTTGTATGGGGCGTCAGCCTTTGGTAATTTCAGGCGAAATATCAACTATGGAATGTACTCGCAATGCACATGTATATATATATATATGATAATATAGATAATACATGATAATACGACTTTGTAATATTGTACATATATTTCAATCAATTATGATATATGTTTTCTCCTGCTAGTATACATATATACACACATTATATATACATATTCAGATGTGTATTACTATGTGTAAGATTATCTATCTATATATATATACGGCAAATGCCTGGGCTTTGCCCGGACCCGCAATGACGACAGGCGCCGCATCATCATAATCATCATCATCATCATCATCATCACCATCATCATCATCACCATCATCATCGTCATCGTCATCATCATCATCATCATCATCAGAATTAAACCCTTATTGAAGATCTTCAATGAATGTAGAAGTGTAACGGGGGTGGGAGAATTAAACCCTTATTGAAGATCTTCAATGAATGTAGAAGTTTAACGGGGGGTGGGCGAATTAAACCCTTATTGAAGATCTTCAATGAATGTAGAAGTTTTAACGGTGGTGGGAGAACTAAACCTTCATTGAAGATCTTCAATGAATGTAGAAGTTTTAACTGGGGTGGGAGTTTAATATTCCCTAGTACCTTTGTTGTTTTTCCCATAGGAATTTAAGGTTTGACGGGGGTGGGAGTTTAATATTCCCTAGTACCTTTGTTGTTTTTCCCATAGGAATTTAAGGTTTGACGGGGGTGGGAATTCAATATTCCCTAGTACCTTTGTTGTTTTTCCCATAGGAATTTAAGGTTTGACGGGGGTGGGAGTTTAATATTCCCTAGTACCTTTGTTGTTTTTCCCATAGGAATTTAAGGTTTGACGGGGGGGTAGTTTAATATTCCCTAGTACCTTTGTTGTTTTTCCCATAGGAATTTAAGGTTTAACGGGGGTGGGAATACAATATTCCCTAGTACCTTTGCTGTTTTTCCCATAGGAATTTAAGGTTTGACGGGGGTGGGAGTTTAATATTCCCTAGTACCTTCGTTCTTTTTCCCATAGAAATTTTGTGAAGTTGCATCAACATTTGTTTTGGAATGGGAAACCTCTACGCTGCAATGGGTATATATATACATTATATATACATTATATATACATACATTATATATACATTATATATACATTATATATATACACATTATATATACACATTATATATATATATACATATGTATATATTTTTGCAATACTATAGACTATTTGTATATATATATGTATGTATAAATAATACTAGTATGTGTTCCTCTAGCCCTTCCCAGACGATCGCCCAGGCCACCGCCACACGCCGGCTCGAGGAGAGTCAGGCAGGTTTGCGGCAAAAAAATCCTCGGTTCAGCAGCTGAAATGGTGAGAAATGAGAAATACTAAGGAAGAACTGGCAACTGTGATTTTTATGCTGTTAGATGATGAAATATGATGAAATATGATGAAATATGATGAAATATGATGAAATATGATGAACTATGATATTTTATCCTACAATTGAGTTCAACAAAAGTACATCATTTATGGTCACTTATGGTATAATTCTATTGTAATTACAGCATAAGGCGATCTAGGAAAAATACATGGAGTTCGACTATTGTGTTTCATCGTTAGATCCAGTTTGGAGTTGGAGATTTGGTTTGCCATGATTGGTTTACACTGATTATTCCATGGGGTTTCTCAATGTTTTTGGGTTGCCTTAACCGTGTTCTTAAACAAACAAAATCTTGTTTTGGTTGGATTAGAGTCTAAGAGGTTCTAAGTTTGGGGAAAGGCCACCTTTCCTCCTTTGGTTTGCAGCATCCCATGCTTTGGCGCTGGGGTGATCCCCAATGGAATCTGGACACTTTCTAAGCAAATTCCTGCCACACAAATATTTTGATCTTAGCATGTTCGTTCGGTACGTTTGGGCGTTCAGAACGCGCGTTTTAAAAACTCGCGTTCCAGAACGCGCGTTCTGAGTGAATCCTTTTTTCCAACGATATAAAGTCAATTTATTTCCGGGGTTTGAACAGAGAAACCTTTTTCCCCCACTAAAAAAAAAGGATGTGGAGCTCTTGTGGGCTCAAAATGGTAGATGCAGCCACCAGAAGGCTGATCAGCGATCTGGGCCATGACTTGGACCTTGATGGGATATGTTTGGATTGATAATTAAGTGGATAAGTGGATAAGAGCTAGTGGGAAGGGGATATATGAGATATTAAAAGGATTTTTCTAGGGTTTGATGTTGCTTTGTGTTGCTGAGAAGAACCGTTTGGACAAAAAGCCTTAGGTCGGGCAGGCCTAAGATGGAATCCTTTTTTTAGAGGCTTTAGAAAGCGCTGGGCAGGCCAAACACGGATCCTTTTTTTAGGGCCTTTAAAAAGCGTTCGGCAGGCCAAAGACGGATCCTTTTTTTGCCTGGTTTTAAAAGAATTGTGCAGGTTAAAGCCTGCAAGTTTTGCTCCTGGACTGCTTGAAAACTGCTTGAGAAACTCCATGTGCTAGAGTGGATCCTTTTTGCAGGGAGCAAAAAAAGGATTCGGACGCTTTTGGGATCCATAAAACCACTAAAAACACCCCTGCGTTCGGAACACGCGTTCCAGAACGTACGTTTTGCGTTCTGCGTTGTGAACGTGCTAAGATTTTGATATGTATTCTGAATTATTCTGACATGCATGTTTTAACCCTATGCTTAAACATAAAGTCCTGACATCAGTTCTGGCCATCAATAGTTGACAAAAACATACTCTGGCAATCTCTGACATGTATTCTGAGATGCGATCACATTTGATCTGGCATGATTTGATTTGTGGCTCTTTCTGGAATATGTTGCTCAAATATCACATTATATATTTTGGAAGGTTTGTTGGAAACTAGAATGACAATCTTACATGTAAACCAATTGTAAAACTATATATGTAGGACAAAAATTGAAACTATGTGAGCGTATAAACCAAACTATATGGAAAAAACAGTTTCTTGTAGTTTCTTCACATTGCAAAAACGATGTTTCTGTTGCCTCAAAAAAAAAACGCGCAGAATTCAGGTGAGATGGGCTGCGCGGCGCCTGATGATGGCCTTGGCTGCGGTGCCGTCGGATTTTTGGGCTGTTTTTTTTGGGGTTTAATTATTACCCTCTGGTAATTTAACATAACTATGGAAAATCACAATTTTTAATGGGAAAATCCACTATAAATGGCCATATTCAATAGCTATGTTAGTTTACCAGAGGGTACCCCCAGTAAATTAACACGACGACCCCGGCATTTTTCGGGGTTAGAAGATGAGTGAAACCACTATCTGATTTTCAGGGTCGAACTGTTCATTTACTAGAGGGTAAACCGGGTAAACGTGCTTAATTATTTGACGGATTTTAATGGTGTCATGTTGTTTATCCAACTGCAACATCATAACTGGGATATTAATGGTTTCGTATTTTTTGTGAACCCAGCAGACGGATATGTTCATTGGATATTCATAGTTTTCATAACCGGAACGTATATGATGTTTATGGGATATTCATGTGTTTCATGGGATATTAACGGGGATATAAACTAATGTATTAAATATGTTTTCTGAAACCAGTTCGTTTTAAATTATTTCAATCACTGTGGTTATCTTGTTTCAAGACTATGAATGCGATGATGATCCTAAACTGACATGTTTTGTTTGGCAGGATAGAAAACACCAAGTACTCCCAAGTGTGAAAGTCGTTGCGTGTTCAATATTTTGGCTTTGTAACTTGCTGCTTTGCATTTTGGGAAAGTCGTTGCGAAACCAGTGTCCCATGCAGTTCTGCGTTAAAAAACCGAACTACAGTTAAACAGTTTAGTCGTATCGAGCACCTTCAAATGTCTCCGTACCTATGAGAAACGTATTTGGGAAGAGTCACATCGATTCATCTATTTAATTCGGTATATTCGGTGCAATTCATGGGTGCTTTGCCGACTCTTGTTGTATAGATCATGTCTTGTATGCTTGTTTCTACCGCAGCGTGCTCTCCGCCTCTCTATTTCTCAGCCCATCTGCTGCTGCTTCTGCTGTTGATCTGCTGCTCAAGAGCTGCTAAATGCTGCTACTGTAGATTACTGGGATGCCAAACTGCTGCCCGGCAGTCCTGCGAATCTGCTGCTAGATTGCTGCTAGACCACTAGGCTTCTTCCCACCTGCCGCTCCTCTGCTGCTCCAGTGCACTGCTGCTGGATTACTGCTAGGCTGCTGATTGCGGTCCTAAACACTTTAATTTATTGGCGATCGTTTTAGTGACGATAAACCCCACTCTACATGTATGGTATGGGCTGAAACCACCAGACATTCTTGACACGTGTTTCCATACTGGTTGGGAGTGTCCTCACAATATCCCTAACTAAGTCACCCACATTTCACGGCTTGAGCCACGTTAAAACCAACCACTTGGTGTTCTACCCTACGCTTCGTTGACACCCCGTCAATGTTAGTTGTCGTTTCCCGAAAGTTCCACTGCGTTCGTCAGTTCCTTTCTCTGTTGATTGAACACATGTTAATCTTATAAATCTGACAAACCATCACTGGAATCACGGTTTTTTATAAGGGGAATCATCCCCAAAAGGTCATATTTCAGGTTAGTGACTGGTTGGTGGTTTGGAACATGGCTTTTATTTTTTCCATATAGTGGGAATGTCATCATCCCAACTGACTTTCGTATTTTTCAGAGGGGTAGGTATACGACCAACCAGTATAAATCTGACAAACCATCAGGGATTGTTGGTAACCATTAGTCAGATTTCCTTTTCGGCTGATCCAACACCAATCTTTGCACCTGGAACCCCAAAGAACCAGAAATAAATGGTGGTTTCCCCAAACAACCCTTTGTTATGTACGGATTCATCATTACATGTCATTACCGAAGGGACACAACCATTGAAATTTGCTTGTGAACAGGGCACCAGGATTTAGTTGTCTCCCTGAGAGTCCATGGCAGGTGCATGCAGCCAACCTGGTGCATTGCGACGTGAAGATACTTGGCGGCAGCCCACGCAAGTCACGGCGTGTTTCTGTTCAACCACACGGGGACGTGGCAAAAACATGCAGGAAATGGAGGAAAACCCCAGGTTGAACTCGATCGGAAATCGCCAAGTTGTTGAGGACATCAAATTTGATTGAGAAATTATCACCAAACGATGACAATATATATATATATATGACACTTATACAAGTGGGAATCGATGAACAGAACCATAGAGTTTCAGATTTTGGCTGATTGGGGACTTGATCAGCAAAATCCGTATGCAACAAGACAGGGGCTGATGACCAGTGACTAAGACTTTAGATTGAATCGAAAAAGGCTGGAAGATCGCCGACAAACCATGTGAACAAAGTGTTCTGGCTGGTGGTTTGGTATTTTGGGGTATGGCTGATGAATTTCTGGCAAACAATCGGATATACCATGATATACCCTCCGGTAATTTCGCATAGCTGTGGAAGCCACCATGGCCCATAGAAAGTTCGATGATGTAGCTACTAAACATATGGTGGTTGTTTGGATATATATTTCTGGTACACATTACCAGAGGGTCAATCATCAAACATCCCCGTCAGTGTCAAATCCTCATGAATTCACCATTAAAATCACCATGAATTCACCATTAAAAAAAGCACGTTTAGATGAGATCCCATTAAATCCCCAACAAAAGTTGAACCCCTAAAGTCAGCATGTTTTGTTGCTTTCTCGCTCTCAGGCCGGAGAATATCTTGGTGGGTGGCATGGAGGGCTCGCGTGCCTTTTGGCCCGCAGAGGGGTAATTTTTATGGAGAAAGTGCGCGGAAAAGTTGATAACATGGAAAATTCATGAAAATTCAGGGAACATGATGATAAAACAAAGCCATGTTGAAAACACTGGGATCTATACAGTTATAATTATAATCATATAATATATACATATATATATAAATAATGTATTGTATTTCTACAACTATATTATTTATGCATGATGTGTACAACCAATCATATTTTCATTGGGTTTGGTAACTGAAACTCTGAGAGCGATATCATCATTTCTCTACCTTAAGATGGCCTTAACGTATCAGACACGCCCATGACTAGGACCTACTTGAGTTTGAGTCTTTGCCAATATAATATTCATATCAAGGTAATTGCAACATTAGGTGTTAGTACCAGGGTTTGGATCCTGAGGCTGACTCCATCTTTTTGTGCCCAATCGATTCCTGAACTTGGGGATCAGTTTTGGTGATTTTCTTGGACGAAAAAACATCTTTCATCAACACACCCATTTCAAAAGTGCAGTTGTTGTGTTCCCGGTTTCATTTTTGTTGACAACCAATCACCATGACTTTTTTGACACACCCAGTTTCATTTTCTCGTCACCAGAGACCTTGTTTGGCACTTTCCCCTTGTGCGGGTGACCAAGGGGCCCACCATGAAGCTCTGTGATTTTGGTCAATCTGGCCCTCCTGGAGATGCTTGGAGTGCTTGGAAATCCAGGCCTAAAATTACAGTAATGGGAATATCTATGGAAATTAATGGGAAAATGTGGGAACATCTTTTGAAATCCCCAAGAAATGGATGTTTTCAATGGTTTTAATGGGAAGATCATCTGTAAATGAAGGCTTAGCTGGGAAAATCATCGAAGTAAAATGGTGAATGTTCCAGCAAGCCACGTTTGATTAGCGCAGGGTAAATCATATCTATTCATGGGTAGATCTTTTTTGGAGGCTACGAGGTACTATGCATGTGGAGACGTATGGGGGACCGCAAATTCATCCAACATTGGTCATGTTTTGACAGGGAAGCCAACGGTGAAAAGGGGTCCCCCATTGAAGGAATTTCCCATAGATTTGTACAATTATATTGTAGTGTGTTTTCTATATTATACTATACATAATGTTGACCCCGGATCAAAAAACTCTGGCTGGTTAGTGAGGGGGTTCACCAAAAAAATGATCATGAAATATAGATAATAATATGATACCACCTCATTAGAATCATGGGTCGACTAATCAGAGCTTGAGTTGTGTCAAGTGAGTACATGAGCACTGGGTATCATGATGATTCGCCCACAAGAAATGGCCCTGATCGGCCATCGGAAAGGGAGTATGTTCGTTTTTTGAACACACCAATTCTTGGGGGTTCAATACATTTGAGTCATAGCAATAATATTGATACTGAAATTGATACCGCGTGCCTACTTTATTATCGATAATCTGGTATTTTTAGAGGACACAAAAGGGGGACTTCTTAACCAAGAACTGTACCGGCTACGGGGGGTTCTCAACCAGCCAAGAAATGGGAAATGAATTGTTGTCGACTGGCCTTTTGGCTTTCCAAGGCTGCTTCTTGTTGAAAAGAAATAGTCTCATCTCGCAAATCTCTGTATAAATATATGAGTATGGATCAAAAAAAAATGGAAAAAAACACATGCCATTCTTAGGGGGTGAACATCGACTTGCCAGCTATTTGGGGTACAGGGTTTTGACTTATCCCCACTTAAATACAGTTAAATCATGTTAAAACACGTGTATATATATAATACATAAATATAGATATCTGGCCAAATTAGAACGACCTCACTGCGACGTCACCAGAATGATGCTTAGTAAGGGGAATCATCCTCAATTGGCCTTCTTCGAAGTTGGTGAATGATTTAAATTACCCAGATTAAGAATATATAGATATTATATATATATGTGGATATATATATATGTATATACAGTATTTATATATATATATACAGTATATATATATATAGATATGTACAGCATATATATATTGATGATATGTGTATAGCATTTTGTATTAATTAAGGGAAAAGGGATGATAACCTTTCCTATTGTTCAAGAACTAATGACCTCTACAATGACTGAATGGTGCTGTCTTCCTTACGTGGTGCTCAGGAAATCGCCAGCTACATCGGGACGGGCGGCAGGGGACTTTGCCTGGCAGTTTAGGCAACAGTTTATGGTGTTTTTTTTCTCGGGTCTAACCGGCTTCTTATTGAGATTCCATAGGGATATTTAATGTGTTTTTTTTTATAATGGGTTTTATGGTAATGTTATCGTGATTTAATGGGATTTAATAGGGTTTAAGGTGATTCAATGGCGATTTAATGGGATTTAACGGGGTATAAATAACCATATGGTATGTAGCCAACAAACATAGGGAATTGACCATAAAGAGAGATATGTATATGTGTTATGCGGTCAGGTGTGAACCGACGGGTGAATGTTGGCTATTTTTGGGGTACCCAATGACCTGAATCCCCGTGACCATTATACAGGTGATTGCAACCCAGCCCTGAAATCAAGACATCCCCGAGATTGTAGGATGTTCCTGGAAGGTTCAACATCACTTGATCACTTGGTCGCAACATATCACTTGGTCTAGTGTTACTTTCCCAGGTGATGTTCCAATGAGGCTGTTTGATGCAGAGGGTGCTGAAAACTGGGTACAAACTCACAGAAAGTGGGAGCAAGACAGTCAGCAATGCGCATGAGTGTAGTGGAGAAATGTGGCTCCAGTGAGTTTTCCATAAGGTGGAGCCAACAAGTCCAGATATGGGGTCACCATCTCAAAAGCTCACAACCCATATTAGACCTCATATTTTGGGGAACGAACATCCATTTACATCCATTTACATCATTCATTTACCAGTTACTTCAGTGATGTTCACCAGGGGCTTCCATGGCTTTTGACCATTTTTGACCCAGCATGTGGAGGACCCGCTGGTACCGTGCCCCCGAACTCTTTCTGGGTAGCCGTGGAGATCAAAGTGTCAGGGGCGCCCAGGGGCTCCATTTTTGGGGTGGAAGATTTCACCAAAATGTGGGCTGAATGATCAAAGCTATGGGGTGTTAAGCAACAATCATGGTGGGGTTAATGAATTGGGGAAAGCAAGTGGATGTGTAGTCAAGTGGATGGGTAGTTCAGTATCAACTATTTTGTTTGTTGTAGATTGGGCTAGAATCTTAACCTAAGCTTAAAGACATGCGTTGCAGATATCTAAGATTGGGAATGGTTTCTGCAAGCTAAACAAAATCGCTGAATCCCACACAAACAACAAAACCAAGATGGTTCAGTGCCCACCTCGACATACTGGTACCTCGACCCTCAAACTACTCGTACATTTTTTTAACAAGTTGAGACCAGAACTCTGAGGCCTTCAAATTTCAAAGCATAGATAAGATTGGAATCCCACTACATCCCACTCAAATCGCCATTATATCCCATCACATCCCCATTAAATCTCCATTCCCGATTAAAATCTCATGAAGTCACTATAAAATCCCCAGAGAAATCACCGCCGTCGTCCAAGCTGGCGTTCCGCGAAGTCCAGGTGGATCTTTGGTCGGCGGGTTGCACTTTGGCTGAGCTGATCCTCCGCAGGCGTGCTGGGATTCAACCAGCAAAAATGGTGGTTTTATAATGGTTTAATAATATAGTTATGTGGGCTGAATAATATGGTTTAATGGATTAATATTAAACATTAATTGTTATATAGTTATCATGATATATGATTTAATGCCGGTGGTTTAATGTTTAATATAGTTATGTTGGATTGAACCCAAAACACTAGATGTCAAACATGGTTTGATGTTTAATATGGCTTAACTGTGGTCCAACTATGGGTTTTCACCATGTTTAACTGAGTTTAGTAAGGGTCAGCTATAGTTTGACTGTTTTCTTTCTACGTTTTTTTCATACGTTGAACGATAAAAACTGACGGGATTAAAGCGAAGGAAACTGCTATTGGATCAGCGCCTGCTGGCCACATGACTGACTACCTGATTAGCTAACATTAATATAATATACGCTTGCTTTGACCATGTTTTTTTTGGACCAACTAGATGTGTCTATCAGCGAGACATCACAAGAATCACAAGAATGCAGATGCAGCGAACTATGATGATGGCATTTCGCCAGCAATTGCCAACCATGGGGCTATATGTTTTGTGCTCCCGCGCACCAAAATGGTGCCCCAGTTTGTTAGCTAAAGCAATTTTTAAAACCAGGCGAACCATAGGGGGGTTGATGACGATCGGTCATAGAGATGAAGGGGGGTTACCAACGGTAGACCGGAACATCATGGGAATATCATAAGATATTTGGGTCAACCAACAAGCAGTTTGGGGGATTCAACACTTTGTTGTTGTTTACATTAGGGACAACTAACATAGTTTTATCTATTGTAATTGTAATATCTATTTATGTTAAATAGTTTTATGTTGGCAATCTCCATTGGAAACCCATTAGATTACCATTAAACCCTTATTAAATCCCTATAGAATCCCGTTCAATCCCATTAACCATGGCACCCAGATGGTTCCTCCCGCCCTTCCAGACCGCTGGTGCCCGGCTCTGACACACGGGCACCTTAGCCTTGGTCGGAGCGGATGGTTTAACGGTTTAACCATCAGAACTGGTGGTGCTTTAAGCAACAAAAAATCAAGGTTTAACAAAGAAAACATGTGTTATAACCATTTGCATCCATTTGCGATGTATGTATAATATATACATATGTATAAATAAATATATATAAATATGCGTAAATAAATAAATATATATATATGGGATATTTCTGGATAATAATCAACTACCTTCGGCATTGAAACATGGCTTGCTTTTTCCTGGATACAACAAACATCGAACTAAAGCAAATAAATTGATTTTCCACCGAGCCATGTTTGATTACCGGAGGGCATCTATGAACAATTGATCATTTAGTTCAATGATCTATGTTTTGCCGTGATTTACCAATAAATTGATAAAACATGTTGATTTCCATTGCTATGTCAAATTGCCAGATGGGAGTCTATGTTTGTAAGGATATTCTCTTAGTATACAGCATACATTAATAATAGTTAATAGTTCTATGATACCCTCTGGTAAACTAACATAACTATGGGGAATCACCATTTTTAATGGGAAAACCCATTATAAATGGCCATTTTCAATAGCTATGTGGTGAACCTAGCATTGGTATGCATTGGTTTCATCTCTTTTCCAGGCTGCACAGGTGGACCATGGGAGTCCTCCAGCAATGGTTGCCGAGCCATCGAAGGTTTTGGGGGTTGCCAGCAAGCCACGATTGATTTACCGGGTAAGTAAGAAATCAACATGATCAACATGAACATCCCATTGGAATCCCATTGGAATCCCATTGGAATCCCATTTTTCAGCAGCAGTTTTCATGGTTTTGATGGTTAAACAACCACTGTTTTTGGTTGAGTTCTTCCCAGCTCTCGAGATGTTCAAAAGCGAAGAAAACACGAAAACATCGCCGAGGATATGCTCTTCCGCATCAGTGGTGTCACTGCCTCAGTGCTGGCTCAGTGGCTCAAGGCTTTTCTTAAATAAAAATATCAGGGTCTGGGAGTCTGGGGCCCCAGCTTCTTCTTTAGATATGAAATGATATGAACATATGCAAAAGGTAGAAATGGTATGAAATGGTCATGATTGGTCATGTCTGGAAGATTTGACTGTATTTGAGACTCTTGATACACTCTGGTCATCGAACAGTTTGCAATAATGGCCGGTTTGAATGTGGAGTGCTTAGCCATTGAACATGTTTTTTTTTTTCCATAGCTATGTTAGATTACCACGAGGTAAAGTTTCAATAAGTTTGCTGTCGAAGAATGCATATAAGGCCAATTTTTGGGAGACATGACTTGAGTTTGGCACGCACTGATTGGGCCGCATCGCGCATTGGGCCGAAAGCTGGGACGGTATTCGGGTCAACGATGAGGTACCAGTTGGGACATGCAGATGTTGTCAGTTTTACACTCTGGTAAACTAACATAGCTATTGAAAATGGCCATTTATAGTGAGTTTTCCCATTAAAAATTGTTATTTTCCAATTATGTTAGTTTACCAGAGGGTAATATGTTTCAGTAATTAACCATTGGGTTGTCAATAATTTTGACCCATACTGTACCATTTTCTTTCAGGTACGAACACAGAACCAGGTGTGGAACCTTGCAGGAATTTCCATATATTTATATACACATGATATCCTCTCAGTTCTTTGTTGAATTACAGATTATGTCAATCTACCCTAGAAAAAAGAACGTTCTTAGATGTGGAGTTCAATTTTTACATCCAGCATTTCAGACATATTTCATACTTTCTAGATCACTTTTTTTTAAATTTATGATCGTGTTCCCATCATTTTCCAGCAGCATCGTTCCGGTTTTTCGTTTTCTGGTTTCCAGGAGCTGGGCGTCCCTGAAGAGTCCTGGTCCTTTGGCTCAGGGTTTTAGGTGGCTAAATGGTGGTTAGTATATGTTAATATATGTTAATAGGTGTTAATGGTTAATAATGATGGTTAATGGTTAATGGTTAGTATATTATATGTTGATGTTTTTGGGCATTGTCAGAAAAGTACCCTTGTGGGACCTACTTTGCCGATACTCCCCTATTTGTCTACTTCGATCTTCAGGGTATGTTAATAGTGGTTAATAATGATGGCTAATGGTTAATCATGGGTTAACATTGATGTAAATAATGCTTCCTAGTGGCTTAACTGGTTAATGGGTTAATGACGTGGATTTCAATGGGAAAAACAAGAGGTTACGGATAAGTTAAGAATCGTTAAAGATGGTTACCCTCTGGTAACATAGTCCCTGAAAATCACCAATTTTTAGTGGAAACTAATCTTCCAACCCCTATCTGGCAGGGTCTATGTTAATTTACTGGAGGGTACTATATACTGATATATATATATATACATTGTTTATAGGGAAATCAATCATCGAACTATAATGACTTTGGTCCACAATTGTTGGTAGGGAAATCATCGTTCACGAAACATGATCCATGTTTAGGAAAATGATCGAACTATAATGATATATGGTCCAGTGTGGTTTATCGAAACATTTTCTCATTTTATCATCAACATGGCAGCTGCTTGGACAAAGAAAAGATGTTGCTTTCAAGTCACCAACAATTTGGTCAACGAAATTGGCATTTAGCTTTTATCCAATAAAACATTGCATATGACCATACAAACCGAACATATTCAATGTTTGAAAATGTTGGAAAACCACGCATTGCCACATTGGGAACCAGTGCCATACAGTTTGGACCCATGTAGGAAAAGGAGGTTGTACAATATATATATATATATATACACATAACTATATACATATATATGTTATAAGGTTAAATTGTGTTTTTGCGTAAAACTCATTTAAAAAAGAAAAGGCAACATTTCCTGCGTAAAACAATGTTCTCGGTCCACTTCGTCTTGCTGTTGGTTAAATCCATCTTTTCTGGGTTGCTCCAACCTATTGTAGGTAAATCATGGCAGGGAGCCTCCTGTACTGGTACTTCGGCAATCACCCCCTTTCTATATCGGCTGTTGGGAGCAAGCCTGTAAAACTGAGGAAAATTGTGATGACATGAGATATCATGAGATGGATGAAGTCAATCATGTGGAACAAGATAGATTTTACCCAAACATTGGGATTTGACATGATTTACATGGCCTTGATTTTGTTGGTATCCCTGATTTTCCGTTAGGCCTCTGGCGAGTCAGGTGGTGGAGGCTGCTCAGAGATCTGGGGTTTTCCGGGTGGGCTTGTCATGGGAACGTGACATACCATCTGGTTATGACTAACATAGCCATGATATAGATGGCCCATAGAAATAGATGGTTTACCAATGGTTTACCTATTAATAGCATGGTGGATCTTTCCATGGCTATGTTAAATAGCCAGAGGGTATATATATATATATATATGATGCGAACATGATGTGAAGGTGGATTTACCTGCAATTGATGGCTGGTTTACTGGGGAAAACATGACATATCAACTTCGGAACATGATGTTTGGTGAACCAATCAATCATTGTTGTGGTGATCTAAGATTTGGAAAAAATGGGATATATATATATATGGATATATCACATCATATCTACAGTAATCAAAATTTTACAAATAGTTACCCACTGGTAAATTAACATAGACCCTGAGAATCACCTATGTTTAATGGTTTCACTAGTCTTCCAACCCCGATGACTGCCAGGGTCTATGTTAATATACCAGAGGGTAATGATGAGCAAATACACAACATGGTCATTGGCGCCGTAGGTCAGGGATCATCCACAAAACAAATTTTCTCCTCTCGACCCAGAGATTGCAGAAAGCCCCAGTGGTAACCTATCATTATCCCATTATGAACCATTATTCATCCTATTATTAAGCCATAGTTAAAACATGTTAAAACTATTAAGCCATAGTTAACATTATTGAACTATTGGTAACCTATCATTAACCCCTTTATTGTTATTAATTAAGCCATTATCAACGCCTATTACGCCATTGTCAACCACTTATCAACCACAATTACCCATTATCAACACCCAATATGAATCAAACTTTAACATCCATTCATCATTAAGCATCATTCCCCACCATGAATAACGGTGGTTAATCCATCAATCGTCAATAGGCTAATCCATACATATTCGTCCCAACTTCAATCTCTATTAAACAAAGATCTGAATAACCCAGTAACCATTAATCCCGTAACCATTAATACCGAGCATCAATATCTATTAGGCTAGATGTTATTAATCATTCCCAATCACTACTAGTCTATATTGGATTAAACATCGCTATTGAAAATGGCCCATTTATAGTTGATTTACCAATTAAACATGGTGATGTTCCCATCCGTTTTTGGGTATGTTTACCAGAGGGTAATCCATCTCCATCTCCACCCGTTGCCTTCGTTGCGTCCGTTGCGTCGGTTTCGCGTCGGTGACTCGTTCTTCGGCCAGGTCAGTGGCCGCGCCCATGCGGAAGCCGGCGCCTGGGACGCGCTGCGCGAGCAGGGTGCCTCTGAGGCGCAGGGCGCAGTTTGGGAGGGGGTTTTGGGTGGGTCAATGGTGGTTAGTATATGTTAATATATGTTAATAGTGGTTAATGGTTAATAATGATGGTTAATAATTATGGTTAATGGTTAATGGTTAGTAATGATGGTTAATAATGATGGTTAATGGCTAATCATGGGTTGAAATTCATGTAAATAATGCTTCCTAGTGGCTTAACTGGTTTTCCTGGGTTAATGACGTGGATTTCAATGGGAAAAACAAGTGGTTACGGATGAGTTAAGAATGGTTAAAGATGGTTACCCTCTGGTAAATTAACAGAGTCCCTGAAAATCACCAATTTTTAGAGGAAAATAATCTTTCAACCCCTATCTGCCAGGGTCTCTGCTAATTTACCGGAGGGTAGTAGTGGATGACTAATGGGTGACCAATATGTATGGCTTGCCGCCTCGCTACAGGCCTCGATCGAGCTTCTGGGTGGCCTGTTGCGGTATGACAGCACCAAGCGCCTGCGTTGCCCGGCAGCAGCATTTTTTGGGCACCGTGCGTTCTATGGCTAAGTACATGTCTATGTATTATGTATAATTATGTATAATAAGAGCAAACAAGATGGTGAAATCCGATGTTAGAATAGTGGTAGATTTAACCTATGTTGCATCTGTTTGATCTTTTTGGCGGTTGCTGTATATGATTGTCGATCTAAAGGTCCATGTCGAGATTGTCCATTACAAAGGCTGCCAGGGTTCGAACATGAGACCTCGCGAAATATTTTTTCTGAGTTCGTGAAAGTAGTTTTTTTTGGAGCGAACGATTTAGCAACATATTTTAACATGAGACCCCCCTGCGAAAGATAAACGTGGGGTTCTCGAAACATTCGCGACATTATTTTTTGTTAATCGCGAAGAATGGCCGCTTGCAGATAAAGGAATAGATGAAGCGCCATATATAGATATCAGATTGATATCAGACTGTAATAGTGTAGATATATGGGATTATGGGGTATCAATGTACTAACATCTATTGGACAAAGGAAAAAATATGACCCCCTACCTGAAAGATGAGAAACTTGGTGGTGCTGGAGTAAGTAGGGCCTAACCACAGTATATCTACTGGACTAAGCCTATACCCTACGTACAACTGGAGTCACAGATTATATAATCCCATCACCCTAATAATAAACACCCTATAAATGGTCCCAATTGTGTGGAAATTCCCTACTACACCATGGTTTGCAAGGGGGTGTTTAATATTAGGGGGAAGGGAAGGGATTAGTTGTAAACTGGAATGGTGGAGAATTGCCCTCCGATTATTTCACAAGGCCATAGAAAAAATATAGAACATGCTTGTTCGATGAGTTGCATATCAAAAATGCTGGCTTTCCGTAGCTATGTTAAATTACCAGAGGGTACACTTAGTATATACTGTAATATAAGATATAATACTTGGTAAGTACAGTCAGTGTAGCATATTCATTGATTTGTCCAAACATGGTGGATTTACTCTCAAATTTGGCGATCCAAATGTGACAATTAAACTATAGTGGTTCAGAGTACTGTGCCCAATTCTTGGACAAAGCCTATGCCATTTGGTTATGACTAACAGTTTGCCATGGAAAGATCCACCATGCTATTAATGGACCATCTATACCATGGCTATGTTAGTCATAACCAGAGGGTATTATGAATTTGTGCTACCATCCAAATGGGTATTGACGACTCAATTTAGCTAGTATGTTGTATCTTCCATCCCTGAGAACAGGATGAATTTTCATCGGATGTTCGTATTTCTCGGTGTGGCTCAACCTCCAACCTATCAACCTGGAATTTTGATCGAGAAAGCTGTTTGAGATCTGTTTCTTGCAGTTATGCTCCAAAATACCAGCTATAAGTACTGAGAAAAACCCATTTATGGAATGAAGCCAGTGCCATTGCATTTGGGTCATTCATTTGCAAATGGGTTTTTCATGTTTGAGTCATAAAGAGGCAAGTAAAGATAATGAAAAGTCATAAAAGTGTGATGTTGCATTTAGTGCTTATCAAAAGTGGGTCTTAATTATTTCATGTACTAAAGTAAGTGGCTTCAGCATAATAATTTCGTAGACACATCATGGTTCCAGGTGTGGACATGGGGAAATCATGGTTGGGGGTCTGGATACCGGCCCTCAGCATTCTTGGTTACATGTGACATATTAGGAGCATGGTCACTACCCATTAGAATATTGTATGAGACCACTCACCCCCTACTGTTACCATAACCATCCATAACTATAACCATAATCTTACAAAAGACACACACACACACTTTGCTACTGCCCTCCGTGCCAGGTTCAAACTTGTCCGTGCCAGGTTTTGCTTCTTGCAAAAGGGCCGGAACCTTGAGTTTCTCTTTAAGCTTGAGTTGTTCAATTGATAACTCGAATAATGATAGCATTTACCATCAATGACCAGTCCATTTCTAATACCAGTCAATTGATGGCAATCTTTCATGTCTAATACCAGTAAATTTATGAAGTAATGTGGTTCATGTCTAATTAATCTGTATAAATAATCTTCATGAAATTATTAAAGGGGGGCAGGGCGGACTGCAAATGCATGCCTCACAGGCTCACACTTCACTGGTCCTCGCTTTGTCCAGCCGTCAGTCATAGAGTCAGAGCAATCATTGTTAGTTAACATGTTATTTCATATCAAGTGATCCACAAAGATAACTGATATTATCATGAAATTATCTGCATTGAAATCCGAACTTCATTGGTTTCTTGCATGTCTCATTTTTCAGGTGTTCTTACAAATCATTACTATTTCCATCCTTATCAGGTTTTGCTTCAACTGCACTCCAGGGTTTGGCCACCGGCCCTGGAGTTACTAAGGTAGCTTTGAATTAAGGTAGCTTTGACTGCACTCCAGGGTCTGGCCACCGGCCCTGGAGTCACTCAGGTAAGACAATCTGGGTCTGGACACCGGCCCAGGTATCACTAAGGTAGCTTCTGGCGTGTGGCCCTTACTTGTTTTCATCATAGTTGAACATGATGTCACTCCGGCACTGTAAGTTTAACCCTAATTTTCAGAACAATGCATGTTAATTTTCAACATGCTAAAATGGTTCTATTTCTATTTTTTTTTTTAAATCTGGCAAGTTTGGCAAACACAGTCGTAGCAAAATATATCATTATTGCAACTAGACATGTTTATTTTTTCTTCCATGTCAGCCTTTTAGTTTGCACACTTGTCAGGTGACAGCAGAACAAGCAAAGCCATGCAGTTTACCATCATAAGTGATTCATAGACTCTAGTCTGATTTTTATCAATTCACAATGATGGATGACTCATAGTGGATTCATGGATGACTCATAGATGACTCATAGATGACTCACAGGTGTGTTGTAGATGATCCATAGATGATTTTAGTAATATGTTTATTATGTTGTTAGATAAATCCTGGCACTTTGTTAGTAACTGTATTGTTAAACTGCATGGCTTTGTAACGGTCTGGGTGTCCGACCGTGTTTGTTCTGCAGGCCCGGACTCCGGCCTGTTGTCACATGTCCCTGGATTCCGGGACTACTAAGGGACCAAGGTAGACCCAGCGCCTGGCTTCCGGCGCTGGGTTCAGGGACTCCAACCCGTGCCTGGCTTCCGGCACCGGGTTTCAACAAGCTGGTCACTACATACCAGTGCCTGGATTCCGGCACTTGGTAGCCCTGAGCCTCCTTCTTACCAGTGCCTGGTTTCCGGCACTTGGTAGCCTTCTTCAGTCCGTTGCCCAGAGTCATCACAATCACCACCACCATCATCACCATTATCCTCATCACCATCATCATCACCACCAACATCTTCATCATCCTCATCCTCATCCTCATCGTCATCATCATCATCATCATCCTCATCATCATCATCAACATCATCCTTATCATCATCATCATCATCATCATCATCACACATCATCACAACCGTGATCACCGTCATGTGTCTCATATTTAAATGCATGTTCACAGCCATGTTCATCCTAATGTAAATCAACTAAGTCTGTTTTGCACTGTCTTTTTTGGGGTGCCACATTGTTTCAATGACCATCCCCGTGGTCAAGTTCACCATTGCCTTTGATGTGATTAAGAAATTTGTGACCGGCCCCACACTAAACATCATCGGTACCATCAGCATGCTCCAGTGTCAGCTTCCTTATCCATAACCATCAACAACATGCTCACTCAGCATCACTTTTAATACTTTGATCATCAACCATTGATCAAAATTGTTTGGTGTATTGGTTGGTGAATCTGTCAGACAAATTAGACAACATATCCGTGAGATTGACCTGGTTTGACCTGAACTACCTTTTGTTCTGTTTCTCTCAAAAAGTTTTAGGTTTTGAGAGTGCCAGTCAGACACATCTTGATTTGTGAATGGTAGATGTGGGCATCCACCATGTGAATATCATCATTATGTGGCACACTGGCCATGGCCAAAAGTTTCAATAACCTTCATGAAGACCGCAATAGGTTGTAGGCATGTTAGTATGAGCAAACATTGTGACACATTTTGATTCTGGCCTCAATAGACCCCTGTCCATGCTAACCAGCACCCAAGTTGAATAGTAAGCATCACCTTCGAGGTCTGCAATGCTGAAGTGAAGGAAACTGTCCGGATGTCCCAGACTGGACGGACACCCAGGTTGCTGCATGGATGCGGAAATACTTTCAAATTCACATCGAATCTGTTGAGTTTGCATTGTTGAGCTTGCACATTATTTGCATTTACTGTTTTTGGACATCTGTCATATATATCAATAGCAGCCTCATCATCATATGTTCATCAGCAGTGACACTTCAACTTTCACTCAAGTGAACACTCCGTCGCAAAATGAAAGCATGCAATACAAACATATGAATGACAGTTTTTCCATTGGAAAAAAAGCCACAGGATCAAAATAATAAGACAAGGATTTCAGATTTATACTGTAATGGTTCCTGATTTAGCTTGCCCAGTCTGAGGATGAACATGGAGCTGCAACATGGAAAAGTTCAAGCACTGAGTCCAGACCCTTGTATTGTGCAGTGTGTGGATTGCTTGACAAGCTGTGGTTTTTGCAACTTTCATTATCTGATTTGTTGAATTTCAATCAACCAATGTGGTTTCAAACAACCAAGATGTCCAGGAAGTATCTGGTCAAGTTGTGCAAAACGTATTTCTAAACATGCACCTACCCAAGCTACTTTGGCAAACCAATGTCAGTGTCTGGCCACCGGCACTGATCATTTCTTTGCCTGTGTCAGGATACCGGCACTGGGCACTAAGGTTGCAGAAGCCAGTAATTTAATACAATATAAGTTTTTGTATGTGTGCATGCCGGCAATGCTCAATATTTCATCATTGGATTCAACTTGTTTCAAACTTGACCATTCACAGCGATGTGGGGCGTACCACATATTTACATATTTCTGGACAGAAAACTTGGACGACATGTTAAATAGTGACTGGGATATCATCATCACACCGTTTCACACTTGCTGGCAGGAG